ATTTTTGGTTATCACAACTAATGGCATGTAATAGGTAGAGGTCAGGGATGCTGCTAAACATCCTACAATGTACCTAAGAGCCCCACACAACAAAAAATTATCCAGCCAAAACCGGTTTGGCTCAGTGGATAGAGCGTCGGCCTGCGGACTCAAGGGTCCCAGGTTCGATTCCGGTCAAGGGCATGTACCTGGGTTGCGGGCACATCCCCAGTAGGGGGTGTGCAGGAGGCACCTGATCGATGTTTCTCTCTCATCGATGTTTCTGACTCTCTATCTCTCTCCCTTCCTCTCTGTAAAAAATCAATAAAATATATTAAAAAAAAAATTATCCAACCACCCTAGCTGGTTTGACTCAGTGGATAGAGTGTTGAAGGGTGGGACTGAAGAGTCGCAGGTTTGATTCCAGTCAAGGGCACGTACCTCAGTTGCAGGCTCAATCCCTGACCCCAGTGAGGGCATGTGTGGGAGACAATCAATCCATGTTTCTCTCTCTGTCTCTCCCACTGCCTTCCACTCTCTCTAAAAATCAATGGAAAAAAAATATTTTCAGGTGAGGATTAACAAAAATAAAATTATCCAACCCAAAATGCCAATACTGTGGAGGTTGAGAAACTTTGATCTAAAGCAATGCTGATTTGAAGAACTCTGCAGGACAGCTAGGTGAGGACATTCAGCAGCCTCCTAAAGCTCAAGAGGGAGCAGGAATGCAAATATAATTGACCCTTAAACCACACAGGTTTGAACTGTGTGGGTCCACTTATATTAAGGTTTTTCTCAATAAATATATTAGATAATTTGGGGAGATTTGCAACAATTTGAAAAAAAACTCACAGACAAACCTTACGATTTTAAAAAATAACCTTTTCTTTTCTCTAGTTTACTTTATTATAAGAATATAGTATATAATACTACTACACACAACTATTTATGCTATTGGTAAGACTTCTGGTCAACAGTAGGCTATTAGTAGTTAACTTTGAAGGAGTCAAAACTTATCTGGAGATTTTCAACTGCTCGGCGGGTTGGTGCCCCTGATCCCCACATTATTCAAGGGTCAACTGTATAAGTTTAGGACTTGTCAATTTACCGTGGTCATTCCAGTCATCAGCTATAGTTGGGTATAATCACCCATGAATATATTCAAAAAGAAGGCCAAGGACAGAGCCCTGGGGGACACCAACACTTATAGTGGGAAAGGAGAAGAGGAAAAGATCCCATGAGAAAAACTAAGAAGTAGCCAGTGAGATAGGAGGAAAGCCATCAGAAAATGTTATCACAGAAGCCAAACAAAAAGTGTTTCAAGGAGGGAAGTGAGAATAATAAGCAGTGCCAATGGCAGAGAAAAATTGAGCAAGTTAGGAGCAGAAAGGTTCCATTGGATTTGGCAAAATGGAAGGCACTGATGACTTTGGTAAGATCAAGTTCCACGGAGTGTTGAGGGCAGAAGCAAGAACCATCAGATTAAAAAAAAGATTAGATATATTTAACATGTTTATGAACTAAAGGAAAGGAGCAGATGGAGGTGAGGGGAAGGAGGTAAAGAAACAGGAGAGCCGAAACTGGTTTGGCTCAGTGGATAGAGCGTCGGCCTGCGGACTGAAGGGTCCCAGGTTCGATTCTGGTCAAGGGCATGTACCTCAGTTGCGGGCACATCCCCAGTAGGAGATGTGCATAAGGCAGCTGATCGATGTTTCTCTCTCATCAATGTTTCTAACTCTCTATCTCTCTCCCTTCCTCTCTGTAAAAAATCAATAAAATATATTAAAACAAAAAAAGAAACAGGAGAAAGAGGGTGCGTTATGAAGGAGCAAGATCCTAAGAAAAGGAGATGATTTCAAGTTGGTGTTTTAAGGAAGGAGAGCATCAGATAGGGAAAGGACCAACAGCCTTTCAACTGATAGGAGGGGAGGAGGAATAAAATTTCAGCAGAGTTGGTGGATGGCAGGAGAAGCAGCTAAGGGAGTTATCATCCCTTAATTTTCTTTTTTTAATAAGTTTAATCTTAATTTTTTATTTTATTTATTTATTTTAAGAATAGTTTACTGGTTTTTAGAGACAGAGGGAGAGGGAGATAGAGAAACATCAATGTGAGAGCACAACATGGATCAGCTGCCTTCTGCATGACCCCTAAAGAGGATCAAGCCCACAACCCCTTGACAGGGTATCAAACTGGCAACCTCCTGGTGCACGGGACAATGCCCAAACAACTGAGCTACACTGGCCAGGGCTGATAGCTTTAATTTTCCAGGGAAGAATCAAGAATGCTCATCTGCCAAGAGCAAGGGTAAAGGCAATGGGGTAGGAAATTTGAGGAGAGGTTAAGAGTTTAGAAGAATTCTTGAAGTGAATGGGAGAAGAAGCTGACAAGGGTCATGTAGGGAGATTTCTAAAGACTATCTTACCAAGGGAGCTGTGTCCCAGCAGGGAACTCTTGGAGGTCATGTTGTGTTCTGTCAGAAGGCATTACCCAAGTGTCAGAAACTGAATTATTAAGAGGGTGGGTGCTGGTAAGAATTATCCTAATATATAAAAACCCAGGGTCTGTAATGACCGACCAAAAACTCGACCGAACACCAGAAGTCAGTCCTGCAGTCAGTGCACAACCCAGCACTGACTGCTGCGGGTGCAAGTGCAGTGACCCAGCACTGACTACCGAGGGCGGCTGTGCATAAGGCCCAGAGAGAGGCCCAGAGAGAGAGGAAGGGTCTGATCTGCAGCCTCCATGGCAGCTGTTGATTAGCCATTGCGTCTCTCTTTCTCTCTGGGCTTTGACAGCAACCGCACCTCTGTTTCTCTCTCAGCCTCTCCAGGGGCTGCTGATCAGCCCTGCCTCTCTAATCAGGCCCAGAGATAGGCCTGGAGACACTGACTGGCATAGAAACTGACCAATCAGAACTAAATCTGGGTCAACTGCGAGGAGCCAATGGTTGCCTTGGAGATGGAGCTTTTGACACTGACTGGCGTAGAAACTGACTAATCAGAACCAAATCTAGGTGAACTATGAGGAGTCAATGGCTGCCTAGGAGGTGGAGCTTTTGACGCTGACTGGCATAGAAACCAACCAATCAGAACCAAATTGGCTGGCAGGGGAGGGCACTTGGGGGTGAGATCAGGCCTGCAGGGTTGGGCAGTTGGGGGTGAGATCAGGCCAGCAGGGGAGAGCAGTTAGGGGTGATCAGGCAGGCAGAGGCAGGTAGGGGCGATCACGCTGGCAGGGGATAGCAGTTGGGGGCAAGATCAGGTTAGCAGGGGAGGGCAGTTGGGGGTGAGATCAGGTCGGCAGAGGAGGAGAGTTGGGACAATCAGGCCAGCAGGGGAGGGCAAATGGGGGAAAGATCAAGGCCGGCAGGGGAGGGCAGTTAGGGGCAATCAGGCTGGCAGGGGAGGGCAGTTAGGGGTGATCAGGCCAGCAGGGGAGGGCAGTTAGGGGCAATCAGGCAGGCAGAGGCAGTTAGGGGTGATCAGGCCAGCAGGGGAGAGCAGTTAGGGGCGAGATCAGGCCGGCACAGGAGGCCAGTTGGGGCAACCAGGCCAGCAGGGGAGGGTAGTTAGGGGCAAGGTCAGGCCGGCAATGGAGGGCAGTTGGGGGCGAGATCAGGTAGGCAGGGGAGAGCAGTTGAGGATGAGATCAGGCTGGCAGGGGAGGGCAGTTAGGGGCAATCAGGCAGGCAGGCAGGTGAGTGGTTAGGAGCCAGCGGTCTCAGATTGTGAGAGGGATGTCTGACTGCCGGTTTAGGCCTGATCCCAGTGGACATCCCCCAAGGGGTCCCCGATTGGAGATGGTACAGGCTGGGCTGAGGGAACACCCCCCCCCCCCGTGCACGAATCTCATGCACCGGGCCACTAGTCTCAGTCTGTGTCTCTCTCTCTCTCTCTCTCTCTCTCTTTCTCTCTCTCTCTCTCTCTCTCTCTATATCTATATATATATATATAAAAGCCCAGTAACTGTTACAGCGGAACGACTGGAACAACTGGTCGCTATGACGTGCACTTACCACCAGAGGGCAGACGCTCAATGCAGGAGCTGCCCCCTCGTGGTCAGTGCACTCCCACAGCGGGAGCGTTGCTCAGCTAGAAGTTGGACTCACAACTGGCGAGCGTAGTGGTGGTGGCAGGAGCGTCTCCCACCTCCATGGCAGCACTAAGGAGCAGCGAGCCAAGCGGTAAGAAGTGAGCAGGAGGGTGGTAAGGAGAGGCGAGCAGGCGGGCAGTAAGGAGTGGCGAGCTAAGCTGTAAGGAGCGAGCAGGTGTGTGGTAAGGGGTGACGAGCCAAGCGATAAGGAGCAAGCAGGTGGGCAGTTAGGAGCAAGCAGGCAGGCAGTTAGGAGCAAGGGGTCCCGGATTGCAGGAGGACACAGGCTGAGCTGAGGGACCACCCCCCATCCACGAATTTCGTGCATCGGGCCTATAGTCAGGTAATAAGAATGTTAGCTGGGAGTTATCTTTAGTCATCACGAGTAGGGCTTTTGCCTTAAGTTCCATGAAGGTAGGCACATGTCTATTTGAGTCACTATTAGATCCCCAGTACCCAGCACAGTGCCTAACACATAATAGGCACTCAGTAAATAGTAGGTGCATGAAACAAAAGTACATAAAAATATTTCAGAGGCCAGCTTCCTGATGGAAATGCCTTACCACCACTACAACATCTCTCATGATAGTTCTCAATTCTGTTCTGCTGAAAATACTAGCCTTCCAAATATTTCAGATACCTGCCACTTGCTATACTGCCCTCAGCAGTACCTCTCTTTCCTAATAATTTCCTCCTATTAAAATTCCTCAGATGTCTGACATTTGTGATAACTGATGCAGTTTTCTCTTCTCCTTTCCACCCTCCCTGAAATTAAACACTAGCAATGTTCTCTACACATTAAGAAGTATGCTTTCAGAACAGAGCCTCACCTCCCCTGAAGCAGCTCTATTATTAAAATGTCAGGGAGGCTGCTATTCCAGACTGCAATGCCCCAGGTCATCTTCAACCAGCCTTAATTCCTTATTACCTGGGCCACTTGACTGTGTTTCTCAGGGATGTTTTTCAGATGGTTAGACCGCACACAGACCATGTTTCTGTCTATGGAAAGAAAAATAATTTGATTTATAAATTTTTTAACCGAAAATATTATTTAAAAGAAAATGTCTGGCAACTCAAATTCCCTCCTTCAAAGAGGCATATGCAGATATGGATAAGCAAAGTACCTACTTCAAGCTCAAAGCCATTTTTTAGAGAAAACCTATTTCCCAGTCTAGCCATTAAGAAGCTTATTCTTAATGAAGCTAGTATGCAATATTTTATTTCATGCTATAGATAAGCAATATGAGAACATCTACTTTCTGTTTAGAATTTAAAATGGAAATAAAATATAATGGGATTTTTTTTCTGTTACTGAAAAATAGAACAATAACATCATATGCCCATTTAATTCTGTACACAGGTGGTGGGGGGAGCCAAGTGCCTGCCCTAAAAAACTGCAGTTTAAGGCATATGGATATTAAACAGTGTGACTAATATAAAACGATGATGTTTCAAGTGGATTTATTGAAAATGGGCAAATAGAAAGTTCAGGAATGGAATCTGGGAATGGATAATGGAATTAAGTCTTAGAAATATGCCATTATGATTTTCGTCACCAACACCTCCCCTATTTATTCTTTTAAGGTCAATTTATCAGAGAAAGCTCTAATTTTCAGGGATAAGGGGCTATGAAATATAAAAGGTAATTCAATAAAGAGGAGACTGCTTCCCAGTACAGAAAGTAGCACAAAATAATGACAATGACAATAATGATGAGAGAGCAGCAGCAGCAATATTAACATTTACTAAGTACTTACTAGGTTCAAGCATATGCCTTTTAGAGGGAGAAAGAATGAGGGTTGTGATTCCTATCAATATAATGACTACCCACAAAAAATATCCAAAATTAACCTTGTGATCAATTTCAGCATCAAAGACTTCCAATTTGATCTAGTCCTTTAAGACCACTGCATTTGCTACTCCTCTACACTCCCACTGATACTGTTCTCTGCACCATTCCCTTCCTCTCAGTTCTTGGTTTGTTATTTCTACTAGTCATGGCCATTTGACTGACCTCTCCAAGTTCCAAGGTAGTATCCCACAGTCTTCGGATTGCCATCTGGACCTCGGTTCACAGAAAAGGTGGACTTATTTCGGTAGCCATCGATGACAGGCTAGAGGAGGCAGAAGAGCAGAAAAGGGAAAACAGGTCAAATGAGACCAAGGAGGGCAACAATACAGGGAATGAAATAATGTTCTCTGGATTAAGACAACTAAGTGATGCTTGCTTGGAAAGTAAGGCATAGGTGAAAGTCCTTGACTGAGATCAAGACCCGCTATAGAAACTTCATAGTAGAAAGGAGTTCCAACCTGGCCATAAGGCAGGAGTCAGCAAACTTTTTCATTAAAGAGCCAGATAGTAAATAATTTTAGGCTTTGCAGTCCATATGATTCCCATCATAACTACTCAACTCTGCCATTATAATGTGAAAACACCCATAGACAATCCATAAATAAGCTCAGCTGTTCCAATAAAACCTTATTTCCAAAATCAAGCAGTAAGACAGACACGGCAAAAGGGCCATAGTTTGCTAACCTCTGCCATAAATTAAATTTGCCTCTCTGAGGCCTCTTTAGGTTTCCAAAGTTGCAATTTTTCCAAGGAAGTAATAGTGTAGTGGTTTAGAAAGTGGGTTTTGCATCAGATATACCTGAGTGTGAATCTCAGTTCTGCCACATTCTAGATATGTATCCTTGGGTGAATTACTTAATCTCTCAATGTCTTCATCTGTAAAATGACAGTGCTTACCCCCCAGAGTGATTGTAAACAGTAAACAAAACAATAATACATGCTAATCACTTGGAAGAGGGTCTGGTCCCCAGCAACTGACTAGGAAGTGAGGGCTTACAGAGGGTATAATAGGTTGGAGAAGACAACAGAATTCCTCCGATTTGGGTGCAGCTGTTGTCACTTTGAATCCGTTGAACATTTGGAGGTAAGACTCTAATCTTTGTAAAATTTTCTTCTGAGCTTCAAATTTCACCTGCAAAAGAATATAAGCAATTAAACAAAATACTTTTTGCAGTATCACCTCAAAAGATGGAAAACAAATAGGATAAGAGAAGGTTGTTCCCACAGATACTTGGGTCATGGTCTCAGCAGATAAGGAATCCAGAATGATGGAAAAGCAACAGACCTAATAAGGTGTTGGGGAAAGGTCAAGCGTGAGCTCTTGTGTAAGCTCATCATTGAATTTCCAGAAGAACTTGCTGTGGTAATGGAAACATTCTATTTTGGGGTTATGTTCTATGTAATATGGCAGCCACTAGCCACAAGCACCTGAAATGTGATTCATGTGACGGAGGAACTAAATTTCTAATCTTTTTGCCTTATTTAATTTTAATTAACTTCTTAAGACAGTCAGCTCTGCTAAAATGTGAAATAAGCATTCTTACACCATATGCAAAATCATTCAAAAGAAATCACAGGGCTCATGGGAAAAATAGGGTTGGGTGAACACATTCCCAAACTTTATCAGTAATATACGCAGAAAAGATAGAAACCTAATAAAAAGACTAGTACAGTTTTACATGTGAAATGGTTGTAAAATGCATAACTACTACAATAAGGATGGCACTTTGCCCTGACAAAGACCTGAAGTTTGCTTGTAGATGTAGCTGTCCACTTGTGAGTTATCATGAGGTGGTGAAAGGAGGGTCATGTGAATGGGATGGAAATTTCTCACAGCAAATGTAAATGGGTGTGGCTCATAACACACTTATGGAACTGAGAGAGCAGCAGATGTCTGAGGTGTGTGTGTGTTCATTTCATGGATTTTCATGCAACTCAGTTCAGCTGGGTGCAGTCTCCTTCTTTCATCTGTTTCTCGCGGACCAAATTACTCCTAAGCAAACATGAAATCTGTATTATGTTCAAATTGTTTCCTAATATATCGATCCATTGGAAGAAATTTCCGTTTTCAAAACAAACATTATAGCAAAACTGACTGTACTTAAATTTAAATAGCTACACGTAGCTAAAGCTGTAAGAACAACAGAAAAGCAAGCAATGACGGAAACAGGCATGTATATATGGCTCTAGAATTTGGAAGACATAACTGGCCTAAAGTTAAAATTTCACAGTTGTTAGCATACTAAGTTTAAGGACTCCTTGGGTTGTCTGGATAGACCTGTCTGGTTAAGCTTCTTACAAGTCTAACACCATTCACCTGATGGAACAGAGGAGTGAAGACTTAAGCTGGGTACCAACCTTGAGCTGTTCTTCATAGCTCAGCCTCCAGAGTGGCGTCACAACATCAGCCAGCCTTGAATACAGTAATTCAGGCACTTAGTTCATTATATAAATACTAGAGGCCTAGTGCATGAAATTTGTGCGGGGGGCAGGGGGTGTCCCCTCAGCCCAGCCTGCACCCTCTCCAATCCAAGACATCCCTCTCATAATCCAGGACCGCTGGCTCCTAACTGCTCACTTGCCAGATTGATCGCCGTTAACCGCCTCTGCCTGCCAACCTGATTGCCCCTAACTGCCTTCCCCTGCTGGCCTGGTCGCCTGCAACTGCCCCCCCTGCTGGCCTGGTCACCCCTCACTGCTCCCCCTGCCGGCCTGATTGCCCCACACACCTGTTGCTCAGTCATTTGGTCGTCCCTCACTAAGCCCCCTGCCGGCCTGGTCGCCCCATGCACCTGCTGCTCAGTCGTTTGGTCGTCCCTCACTAACCCCCCTGCTAGCCTGGTCACCCTAGGCAGCCTGGTGTTCAGTCATTTGGTAGTCCCTCACTAACCCCCCCTGCCGACCTGGTCGCCCCACGCAGCCTGGTGTTCAGTTGTTTGGTTGTCCCTCACCAACCCCCACGCCGGCCTTGTCGCCCCCCTCAGCCTGTATGTGTATATATGTGTACACACACACACTAGTGACCTGGTGCATGGATTCGTGCACATTGAAAGGAAATTAATTAGAAGGTGGCCGGTGGGGCGGAACTTCGCGAGGCAGGCCGGACATGCCCTGGAGCCAACCTTTCATGATCTCTCCCTGGCCAGCAGCACCTGGGATGGCACCATGGCTCAAAGGGCGTCTGCAGAGAGAGTGGGTCCCTCCAGCAGGTTGGGTCCCTCGGCCTGGCCTGTGGGGATCGGGCTGAAACCGGCTCTCTGACATCCCCCGAGGGGTCCTGCAGGGATCCCTGCGAGAGGGCACTCTGCAACGTTGCTGTCATACATGGTGTGGAACACAAACACAAGTGTACAGTAAACCAGATTCAGGGACGACAATGCTCCAGCAACAACATAATCCATGGCTGAAAGTGGAATTGCGCAGCCCCGCAAGGAATTGGGCTCCCTCCTCTCTGGTTTCAGGGTGCATCACCTAAGAACCTCCGCTGCCAAGTCACTGCAGCTCAGCAGCTCCTGCGTTGAGCGTCTGCCCCCTAGTGGTCAATGCACATCATAGTAACTGGTTGGACAGTCGAACACTTAGCATATTACCCTTTTATATATTTACTTAGCATATTACCCTTTTATATATTTACTAGAGGCCCAGTGCACAAAATTCATGCACAGAGGGGTTCCCTCAGCCCAGCCTGCACCCTCTCCAATCAGGGACCCCTTGGGGGATATCCAACTGCCAGACATCCCTCTCACAATCTGGGACTGCTGGCTCCTAACCGCTGACCTTCCTGCCTGCCTGATTGCCCCTAATCCCTCTGCCTGCCTGCTTGATCGCCCCTAACTGCTTCTGCCTGCCTGCCTGATTGCCCCTAACCACCTCTGCCTATCTGCCTGATGAGCCCTAACTGCTCCCCTACTGGCCTGATTGCCCCTAATTGCTCTCCCCTGCCGGCCTGATCTCACCCCCTGCTGCCCTCCCCTGCCAGCCTGATCACCCCCAACTGCCTTGCCCTGTCAGCCTGATTGCCCCTAACCCCCTGCCTGATCTTGCCCCCAACTGCCCTCCCCTGCTGGCTTGATCTCCCCTAACTGCCTCTGCCTCAGCCCCCACCACCATGGCTTTGTCTAGAAGGAAGCTGGACATCCGGAAGATGGCTGGTCGACCCAGTCTAATTAGCATATTACCCTTTTATTAGTATGGAAAGATTATAAAGGATAGGATTGTTTAAATGGGGGGCGGGGGAGCCTTTTTCAGCAGGAGGAGATGCTCTTGGCAGACAAAAATACATAACCCCTATATCTGGACTGATAGCCAGCCATATGCACTATACTGCCAAACCCGTTATTAAAAAATTGAACTGCTCAAGGGCAGGGAAAAAAGGAGACATATGTAATACTCTTTGTAATACTTTAAGCAATAAAACAATTAAAAAAATAAAAAAATTGAACCACTTTCTTACACCTTCCACCAAACAGCTGTTCCCCTTAAAACCCTTCCTCAGCCCCCACCTTAGGTTCTGCCTTCGCAGTTCACCCAGATTAAGTTCTGATTGGTCATTTTCTATGCCAGTCTGCATCAAAAACTCTGCCTCCTAGGTAGCCATTGGCTCTTCGCAGTCCATCCAGATACGGTTCTGATTGGTCAGTTTCTATGCCAGTCAGCATCTCCAGGCCTCTCTCCAGGCCTGATCCACAGCCTCCATGGCAGCTGCAGATCAGGCCCTGCTTCTCTCTCCGGGCCTCTCTCTGGGGCTCTCTCCAGACCTATGTCCGGGCCTGATCCGCAACCTCCACAGCAGCTGCAGATCAGGCCCTGCCTCTCTCTCCTGGTCTCTCTCACCTTGGCAGTGGTGAGGTCATTAGGCCTCTGGCCTAGCCCCAGGCCAGAGGCTAACAACCTCACCATGCCCGCCTTGCCTCGCCCACCCTCCCTGCTGTCTCGCCCGCTGGCCACCAGCCTTGTTGTGATAGGAGCCTGTGGGCCGAGGGGGAGGTGTTCCATGCACTTCCTGGTGACCGATCATCCGTCTGGTCATTTAGGTCGTGATGGCCCCTGGCCTTTTATAATGTAGATGGATGTACTAAGTACCTACACTATACATAAGTACTTTCTCTGGCATTTTTCATATTATTAAGAAGACTTAATCCTCATGTCCCTGGGGAGATAGAGTCTGGGAGAAGAGCCTATTTTGGTGCTGTCTACTAACAAAGCAAAACAGATGGGCAAACCTAATACGAGAAAAATCCAGATTTATCAGGAGGTAATTAGTCATATTAAAAAAGGTTTCACTGTTGGGTTCCTTTAATTAGCCCACCTCCCTAATGCTTTTTTGAATATAATTTGATTTAGAAAATACATTTGTTGCATAAAATAAGGTATCTATGTGTATGCATGGCTGCAATGAGACTATTCATTTCTAGTCCATCTAATATCTTTCTGGGTCTCTGATTTTCAGTAAACCTGCCCTGGACCTTTTTAAAGACAAGGTCCCAGTTTAATATCTCCTTTCTGTGAAAACCACACTAAAAGACAAGGTGAATATTTTCTGCAATCCCAAAGCATTTCCCACAATATTCCTCAGATGTCTTCAAGTTCAGCCTGGTTATCCTACCTGAGGTGCCCCTTCGAATCCTTGCCATCCCATATTAGTTACATCAGAAACACAGAATTTCAGTAGGCTCAGAGATTCAGACTTGCTAAGAGGAAGGAACATCAGCCTTGGTCTTACCTTTCCTGCCAGGAACTATCTAGTGGTCCAAGATGGCTTGGTTTCTTCTGACTTTTCTGTCCTCTTTGACGCCTCTTGGTGATCACATGAGTGAAGGTTCTCTTACGTGCTGACCCCAATAAAAGCTGTGACCAATCTGGAGGTTTTCTGGGACACCAGTAGAGCAGTCCTGATTTGGAGAAGAAACCCACCCTGGAAAGGAAGCATCTAGGTTTGTGCATTGGGACTCTTCTCTCAATACCTGCCAACAATAGAAACATTGAGATTCACTTGCATGAATAGTGAACAAACAGAAGCTGGGAAGTGAAGGCACAATTTCCAAACGCCTTCATTCATTTACAAATCCTTACAGAAGCTCGGCACCAGCACAGAGTCAACACTTGGTAAAAGCAAGTCTACTGAGCAGAGCTGAACTACTGATGGCTAGGCACTGGCTTAAGCTCCCAAAATAATAAGATGAGGAAAATATAGTCTTTGTCCTCTGTGAACTCTTCGGATACACTTCTATGGCTAGTCCCTCTCCATATTCTACACTCCTACCCAACAACCAACAATCCTATATAATAAAAGGGTAATATACAAATTGTCCCCTTGACCGGGAGTTCGACCAGAGTTCGAGCAGGGGGCAGGGCCAGCCCGCCAACCTCCTGCCGCCCCTCTCCCTGGCATCCACCCCCGGATCGCCCCCCTACTCAATCAGGGGCAGGGCCAGCTGGCTAATGTCCCGCGTCCCCCGCCCCACCCCCCACCGCCAGCCAGCCCGATTGGCCCCCACCCATGCACGAATTCATGCATGGGGCCTTTAGTTAACTAATATTTACAAAGTATTTATTATATGCAAGGCAGTGTGCCACACTAAATACTGAAGGGGTTATAAAGGTTACAATCTAATTGAGGAGATCCAGTACGAACCCAGGAAAAGATAATAATTAACATCATATTCTTGGTTCCTGATAAGTGCTAAGTAAAGGCTTCCCAGAAGCAGATAGGCCTTGCACCAGGTCTTAAGAGATAGCAGGAAGGTGAAGCAAGTACATGGAGGATAGTGGCTTAACTGATCTGGCTAAAATTGTAGTTCATTTTAGGACACAAGACTAAAAAGTTACATCAAAGTGAGACTTCAGCTCTGGAAGAACTTTAATGATTGAATAAAATACAGACTTTATTATGAAAAAAAATAGTGATTTGAGGGAGCCTTTATGTAAAGAAATAAAGATAAAATAGGGATGTTAATAAAAAGCAAATTCATGTTTGAAGCATGTGTTTGAAATGGTAGGGTAACCACCAAATGGAAATGTCTAACAAGTAGAGAAGCAGTACTACATGTCAGGAGAGAAGTCAGGGCTAGAGATTTGGTCAAGTGTCTATAAAGAGTACAAGCTGCAACATTTTTTTTAAAAAAGAGCTTTTAACTCTAGCTGATGTTGCTCAGTGGACAGAGCATCGGCCTGTGGACTGTAGGGTCCTGGTTTGGATTCAAGGGCATGTGCCTCTGTTGCAGGCTCCTCCCAGCCTGGGCCCTGGTCAAGGTGCGTGTAGGAGGCAATCAATCAATGTGTTTTTCTCACATCGATATTTCTCTCTGTCTTTCCCTCTCTCTGCCATTCCCTCTAAAAATCAATGGAAAAATACCCTTGAGTGAGGATTAAAAAAATAATACTATATAATAAAAGGTTAATATGCAAATTGTCCCCTCAGGAGTTCAACCGACCAAGAGTTCGACCACTCTCTATGATGTGTGCTGACCACCAGGGAGCGGCACAGAACAAAGGAAGGCCCGGTCAGCCCTGATTGCCAACCAGGCCTAGGGACCCTACCCATGCATGAATTTCATGCACCAAGCCTCTAGTAAAAAGTGAGAAAGAGCTTTCAAGCCCAGCCAGTGTGGATCAGTGGTTGAGCATCGACCCATAAACCAGGAGGTCACCTTTTGATTTGCAGTCAGGGCACACGCCCAGGTAGTGGGCTCGATCCCTACTAGGGGACATGCAGGAGGCAGCAATCAATAATTCTTATTGATGTTTCTATCCCTCTTTTCCTCTCCCTTCCTCTCTGAAATCAACAAAAACTTTTTTAAGTGCTTTGAAGGGACTAGCAAAAGGCCAATGACTAAACCTGGGAGAAAGGCAATAGTTGGGGAGCAAGAAGAGATGCTGGTGACTCAGAATCACAAGAGTGTGGAGCTTGGAGGCCAATGTCTTTCAGGAAGGCACTGGCATATCCAGTAAGTCTGAGGCCAAAGAAAGAAGGGAAATATGGCAATGGGAAGTGGCAGGCAATGGGGACAATTGAGGTTTGAGATCTTAGGCATGCAGATCCTAAAGTCAGGCAGACTTGAGCAGTCACCTGCCTCATCCACTTACTAGCTAAGTGGCCTCTGACAAGTTAATCATTTCATCTGCTCTTCCTTTTTTTCATCTGTAAAATGGAGATAACAATAGTAACTACCTCATATAGTGGTTGTAAGAGTTAAATAAGGAATAATTAATAAAAAAGTACTCAGCAGAAGATTAATGGAAATAATGTTTGTAAAGCTCTGAGCACACTGTCCAGTACCTAGCAAAAATTCAGTACATGTTCATTATAACTACCATAATGCCTAAAGATACTATGGGACTGAGTGACAGTGGCAATATTGAAGGAGGGCAGCAGGGGAAAGGAATAGTGGGAGTAACTAAGGAAAAGTTGGAAGAGCTAGAACAGGGAGAGGGTGCACGGCTGGAGTGGCTCAGTTAGTTGAGCATCATCCTGTATACCTGTGCACCAAAGGATTGCTGGTTTGATGCCTGGTCATGGCACATACCTGGGTTGCGGGTTTGACCCCTGGTTGGGGCACATATGAGATGCAACTGATCGATATTTCTCACAACAATGTATCTCTCTCTCTCTCTCTCTCTCTCTCTCTCACTCTCGTTCTCTCTCTCTCTCTCTCTTCCTCTCTCTAAGCTTGTCTTCAAGTGAGAATTTTAAAAAATTGTCAGAACAGGGGAGGACACTTTAGAAAAAGGAAGGAATCCCTCTTCCTCCAACACAGGAATTTGTTGTTGCCTATTTGTTTTGTATTGCTTGATCATTCATTGCTGTGCAACTTTTTTGAGTATCCAGGACATGTGAATGGACCTGACCAGACACCTTACTGATCTGCTGTGAAACTGCCTTTTTGCCCTTGCTTTCTACCTCGGACTTCATCCCAATGTAAATCATACTTTAATTCATAATGCTATCTATTTAAAAGTCCAATATATGTAATAGATTTATTAACTAAAAGTCTTCCATGGCTCCCTCTATTATGTGAAATTTGTATATCATGATCATTAGGTAATTTAGAGGATGCTGACATGGGTGCCGTAATATGTCACCCATACACCATTTTGTATGTTTACAAAGTACTAAAAAACTAATTGTCACCCTAGCTGGTTTGACTCAGTGGCTAGAGCATCGGCCTGCAGACTGAAGTGTCCCAGGTTCAATTCCGATCAAGGGCACATACCTCAGTTGCAGGCTTGATCCCTGGCCCTGGTTGGGATGCTTGCGGGAGGCAACCAATTGATGTGTCTCTCTCACATTGATGTTTCCCCTGTATGTCTCTCTCCCTCTCTTCCACTCTCTCTAAAATTCAATGGAAAAATATCCTCAGGTAAGGATTAATAACAACAACAAAAGTAATTGTCATAATATGAAAGCATTTGGGGGTAATTTCTAACAGAATAAATTTAGGTTGGCCCAGGGTTCAGGTGCTATTGATAGCACACTCCACCTAACTCCCAGGAAGAGGGAAGTCCTTAAGAATATGGACTTTGGCCCAGCAGTATTGCTCAGTGGTTGAACATCAACCTATGAACTAGCAGATCACAGTTGGACTCCCTGCCAAGGCACATGCTAGGTTGTGGCTCGATCCCCAGTACAGGACTTGGGGAAGGCAGCTGATCAATGATTCTCTCTCATCATTGATGCCTCACTCTGAAATCAATAAAAACATATATTTTTTTAAAAAAAGAACCTGGAGGAGAAACCAAGATGGCGGCATAGGTAAACACTGGAAATTGCTGCCTCACACAACCACTTCAAAAATACAACTAAAAGACAAAACGGACAGCATCCAGAACCACAGGAAGGCTGGCTGAGTGGAAATTCTACAACTAGAAGGAAAGAGAAAAGCACACTGAGACTCAGAGGAGGTGCGGAAGTAAAGTGCAGAGGTACGGAGGCGCACGTGGAAAGGGCTGGCAACTGAGGACACAGTTTTCTTTTTCAATCGGGAGGGAGTCTCAAGCTCCTGACTGCTCTGGACTCCAGTTTCAGGCGAGTCTCTGGGGACCCAGACTCATACGGGGATAAACTGGACTCTCTGGCATCGGGCAGAACTCGAGGGCAGCTTTCTCTCAGAGGTGCTTGCAGCGATTACCGGGACACTGAGACGCGGGGCCTCTTAGGGTAGGACTGAGGATCAGCCATAGCTGTTTGCTCCGCCCTGTTGATTCCCTGAGACCCTGCCCCACCTAAGCTGTGCGTAGAGGCTTTTGCATATGAAAGGCCTGGCCCTTTACAATCTGAAAATTACCTAACAAACTGCAGCTGGGTCAGAGACCCAGAACTTCCAAAAGAAGGCCCAAGGCCACACAGCAGCTTGCATTGCTTCACAGCTGGGCCTCATCTGGGCACCTCCAAACCCCCAACAAAGAAGAGGAATCTGCAGATCTCTGCATAGCTCCTGCTGAATAGCCTCAGGCAGAGGCTAAATTAGCACCTCCTTAGAGATCCAAGAGCCAGTGTACCCAGGGTCAGAGTGGGACCATCCAAATTACAACTTCTCAGATCCATAAGGGACACACTCAGGGGGCAGACTCAGTGAGCACCAAAGCCCCACTGAAGCAAGTCTTGCCCCAGAAGGGTGTCTCCAGCACAGTTCTCCCACTGTAGACACAGCTGATTCTCACAGCCAATTGGCCTGGAGGTCAATTCCTCCCAGTGATACCTACAACAATCAAGGCTTAACTACAACAAGACTCTGCACAAAGCCCACAAAGGGGTGCACCAAGAGTGTCTATCTTACGTAATTGGGGAGGCTGAGCCACTGGGCCCTATAGGACACCTAGCACAGAAAGCCACTCTATCTACACAGGGAAGCATAAAAAATGTGGAGACAAAGAAACAGGTCACAAATGACAGAAATGGAGGAAAGCAAACTAGAGGATATAGAGTTCAAAACCACACTTATAAGGTTTTTCAAGAATTTTCTAGAAACTGCCAATAAATTTAGTGAGACCCTCAAGAAATCTAGTGAGACCCTCGAGGTTATGAAAAAGGACCAACTAGAAATTAAGCAGACACTGACTGAAATAAAGAATATTATACAGAGTTCCAACAGCAGACTAGAGGATCGCAAGAATCAAGGCAAAGATTTGAAATACAAAGAAGCAAAAAACACCCAACCAAAAAAACAAAAAGAAAAAAGAATCCAAAAATATGAAGATAGTGTAAGGAGTCTCTGGGACAACTTCAAGCATACCAACATCCAAATTATGGGGGTGCCAGAAGAGAGAGAGCAAGATATTGAAAACCTATTTGAAGAAATAATGACAGAAAACTTTCCCTACCTGGTGAAAGAAATAGACTTACAAGTCCAGGAAGCGCAGAGAACCCCAAACAAAAGGAATCCAAAGAGGACCACACCAAGACACATCATAATTAAAATGCCAAGAGCAAAAGATAAAGAGAGAATCTTAAAAGCAGCAAGAGAAAGACAGTCAGTTACCTTCAAGGGAATACCCATACGACTGTCAGCTGGTTTCTCAACAGAAACTATGCAGGCCAGAAGGGAGTGGCAAGAAATATTCAAAGTGATGAATAGCAAGAACTTACAACCAAGATTACTTTACCCAGTAAAGCTATCATTCAGAATTGAAGGTCAGATAAAGAGCTTCACAGATGCCCTAGCCGGTTTGGCTCAGTGGATAGAGCGTCGGCCTGTGGACTGAAGGGTCCCAGGTTCGATTCTGGTCAAGGGCATGTGCCTTGGTTGCGGGCACATCCCCAGGGGGAGGTGTGCTGGAGGCAGCTGATTGATGTTTCTCTCTCATCAATGTTTCTAACTCTCTATCCCTCTCCCTTCCTCTCTGTAAAAAATCAATAAAATATATATATATATAAAAAAAAGAGCTTCACAGATAAGAAAAAGCTAAAGGAGTCAATGAAGGAAAAATATCACATGATCTCACTCATTCATGGATAATAGAGACCATTATAAACTTTTGAACAATAATAGATACAGAGGCAGAGCTGCCTCAAACAGATTGTCAAACTGCAGCGGGAAGGCCGGGGAGGGTTTGGGGGCCAGAGGGAGGGGGGTAAGAGATCAACCAAAGGACTTGTATGCATGCATATAAGCATAACCAATGGACATAAGACACTGGGGGATAGGGGAGGCTATGGGACTGTCAAGGGCGGGGGGGAAAAAAGGACACATATGTAATACCCTTTGTAATACTTAAGCAATAAAAATAAATAAATAAATAAAACTTACTGTACTTTCAAAAATTACACTAATTTGGAGAAATAAGTATGAAACCTATTTGTCTGAGCAAGGTTAATCTTTATATGCTGTAACATCAGAATCTTTTGAATTCAAAAGAATCTGCAGAATGCAGCCAACGTCGAGTGGTTTCTTACTCATGATTTAGTGCCTTGGCTGAATAAAAATATTCAGTGATTACTCAATAGGTGCCAAAGCTCAGGACTTTAGAGAGAGATGAGGCTCCACTTTTGCCAAAACACAATTTGATCTCAACTATTGTTATAAGTAAGAGAAGTTCTATTATTATGATTGTGAAATTGCTAGTTGTTTTTTTTTTAATTAAAAAAAAAGAAAAAGAAAAAGCTAAAGGAGTTCATCACCACCAAACCAGTATTATATGAAATGCTGAAAGTTATTCTTTAAGAGGAAGAAGAAGAAAAAGGTAAAGATACAAATTATGAACAACAAATACACATCTATCAACAAGTGAATCTAAAAATCAACTGAATAAATAACCTGATGAACAGAATAAACTGGTGAATATAATAGAATCAGGGGCATAGAAAGGGAATGGACTGACTATTCTTGGGGGGGAATGGGGTGTGGGGGGTGCAGGAAGAGACTGGACAAAAATCGTACACCTATGGATGAGGACAGTGCGGGGGGGGGGGTGGAGATAAGGGCAGAGGGTGGGGAGGGAACTGTGTGGAAGGGAGCTATGGGGGGCAAAAGAGGAACAACTGTAATAATCTGAACAATAAAGATTTAATTAAAAAAAAAAACATGGACTTTGGCCCTGGCCATTGTTTCTAAATGGGTAGAACATTGGCCTGCACACTGAAGGTTGGTGGGTTCCATTCCAGGTCAAGGGCAGGTACCTGGGTTGCAGGTTCCATCCCCTGTCCCTGTTGGGGTGCTTGCAGGAGGCAAGCAAGCAATGTGTCTGTCACATTGAATCACATCCATCTCTCTCTCTCTCTCCCTCCCTCCCTCCCTCCCTCCCTCCCTCTTTCTCTAAAAGGTGAGAATTAACAACAACTACAAAAAGAAGAACATGGACTTTGCCTAGCTGGCGTAGCTCAGTGGTTGAACACTGACCTATCAACCTGAAGGTCAGGAAACTTTTTTTGGAGTGTGTGGGTCCTCTCACTGGTAACTGCCACGAGACTGTGGTCAGGACACATGCCTGGGCTGCAGGCCCTACTCCCAGCAGGGTGCGTGCAGGAGGCAGCCAATCAATGATTCTCATCATTGATGTTTCTGTCTCTCTCTCCCTTCCTCTCTGAAATCAATAAAATTTTTTTAAAGACACGGACTTTGAAGCCATATTCTATTCCCAGCTCTGCTTCTCACTAGCTCTGTGACTCTGTGCAAGTTACTTAAGCACTATGAATCTGTGTCACCATCTATAAATATAGAACTGATAACACCTACCTTTCAGGGTTGTGGTGTGAATTAAACAAATACATATATATATAAACTCAGGACTGCTTAACACAGAAAGTGTTCAACATGTGTCACTGCCCTTCCTTACACTCTGATTTGAAGCATGTCACCTGACTTCCTTGTGTCTCAATGTGTCCAACCTGCAAAACTGGAGAGATGAAATAATCTATGCTGGTGGTGTGAGGATAAGTACAATTATATGGGAAACTTAAAAACAACACACGAAAAACCTTTCCTAACCTTCTGGAGCATGGTGTACTTCAGGCCTGCCCTGGACCACCCACCGCCTATCAAAAGTGTGTGAACTGTGATAGACATTTTCCCAGGGTGAGACAAATGGACTTAATTTTTTTTAAAAAAAGCAAAAGCCATTGAGAGGAAATGAGTGAAAAGGCAGGAGCCAATAAAGAATAGTTGGGGGGAAGGCAAGAGAAGGCCCAGACCATAGGGGGAGGGAGTGGTGCTGGTCCAGGAAAGTGGCCCTGTCCCTCTAGCTGGCAGGGAAGAATGAAGAAAGCTCCAGGCCCATTTTGGGGTTGGCAAAGGAGGGACAGGGGAGCTGAGGAATTTGGAGACAGCTACATTTACACTTTTAAACTTCTTCTGTGAATGGGAGGGTCCTCTCACTGGTAACTGCCACCATGAGACTGTGCTCTACTTGCCCTGTACCCCAGCAGAAGGCCCCTTGTCAATCTAGGTTTCTCCCTCCACATTATCAGGTATTGTCTAAAATAGGATCCTACTATTTTAGAGTATCAACCAGCCATCTCTCCCAGCAAAGAACCTTTCATCATAGTTAGCAAATTCTGTAGTGAGATAGATTTTTCAAGGCAGCAGAGTAACACTTGTCAAAAAGTGAGTTGTGTTTTCTTTTTTTTCCTGTCAGAGGGGGCATTTGTTCACAGAAAAGACTTGTTATAGTTTTTCCTGTTTTAAATAAATACTTGGATTATTTTTAAGTGTGTGACAACTGCTTTATTTCTACCTCAGGAATTGATCTGAAAGGGACCCAGGGTCCAGAACTGGTAGATAGGAAGGTAGGCTAATTCTCTAGGGCTGGAATGGCTAACCTACCTGAAATGCTCCAAGTTCAAATCAGAGACTACGTGGTTGGTAGATTTGAACTGGGCCAAGGATCTCCTTGAGGCAAAACGTTCACCCACAGGCAAAGTCCTGCTTACACTCTCTGTCCACCCTTCCTTCAGTTGTTCTGGCTCCAGGCATGGTTCCTGGCTAAATTAGACAGATAGGTTTATTGCTTGATCTTGACTGCAACCCATGAGCAGCTAGGTCCTTCCTTTCCCCACCAGCCCCTCCCACCAGCCCCTCCAGCCCCCCTTTCCTTTGAGAAAGTTCTGCCCTCCACATCTGTTGAAAGGGTTCACTAGGAAAGACTGCCACTGTACTTGGCCGGGCTGCAGGGCGTGGGGAGGTCTGGAAGGACAGGGTGGAGGGTTTGGGGGGACGTCACAGCACGAAGGGACTCAGGCTAGACGCGACCTTGAGCAGGCAGCGTTGAGGTCGGTCAGTCCCCGTCCTCAGCCCCGCCTGCCTCCTCAATTCCCCGGCCCAGGGGCAATTTGGCGCAGTCAGCAGTTTTCAGTGCAGTAAGAATTAAATCGGATTTTCTGGGCTCTCCACTTATCCCCCTTACCTTCTAACCAATAAATCCTCTTAAAGACCTGAGGTGCCAAACAAAAAAACCTGCCAGTGGCCTGGATCGCTGCCGCTGGGAAGAGCCACTTCCTGGTGCGCCCGGCTCCAGAACTCCAGACGCAGGCGCAGCTGTGGGGCGGACGCGGCGGGACGCAGAGCTCCTCCCAGGCGGCGCAGAGGCGGCGGCCGCCCTTAATCTGCAAGGGGGCGCTTCTCTGGAGACCTTCAAAAGCACAACTCGCCCCTTTCCCCGGCGCCGTCCCTCCCAAGCACTCCTCCCCCCTCGTCCCGGGACCCAGCCCACCACCTGCTCCTTGCACTGTCCCATGGAAGAATCTGGATTGGATAAGCCTCGAAAATCACAAAGAAATTCGCACTGCAGTGTTAATAGTGTTGACCTTCCTTGGGTGCTTATGGCTTAACTCTTTCAACTGAAAGAAAAGATTTCTAATGGTAGAATTGCAGGTACCAGATCTAAAATGGGGCGGAAGACTAGGAGATGAAGAGGGTTTTCTCAAATCGCAGCCTTATTATAAAAGGCAGCCCAACCCTGGTCGGGTCGCTCAGTTGATTAGAGCGTGGTCCGGATATGCCAGGTTGCAGGTTTGATCCCTGGTCAAGAATTCATAAATAAATGGAATTTTGAAACTCTCTCTCTCTCTCTCTCTCTCTCTCTCTCTCTCTCTCTCTCTCGATAATTTTTTTTTTAAAAAAGCAGCCCTATTTTGGGCCATAGACTTTTCCAGGCATTCCTTCTCCCTCTATTCTATAATGCATCCTAAAAGTATTATGTTATGACAAGATAACTATGGTTTCTTAAGTGGATCCCAGGCAAGGCTACTAAATACTAAAACCGCAGGGAAATAATATTTTTCTTCAACTGCAGAACTCAGAAGGAGGCCAGAGACAACTAGTTCATTTACCAGCTCCTAGACTACATTCAACGAGTCCTCTAATTTTTTGAGGAGTCAGGAGCCCAGCCAAATGAGTAAGGGAGAGAACATTGAAAGATGCACACATGTATGTGCTGTAAAAAATGTTGCTTTAGTGGAATAAATTTACAGCAAGTGAACCTATGTTTAATTACACTTAATTTTTATGCCCAATACTGATTGGGCTTTAAATGGAAAGCACTTGATAGTCAACATTTCATTTATTTATTTATTCAGAGCATAATGTACCTCTTATGTGCTAGGCAATGCACTAGCCCTAGTGAGTACAGCAATAAAGACATGTGCCCAGTAGGAGCTCAATAAATATCTGATTAATTGAACTGAATCCCACCTTGTCTACTGAAAGGGAAAGGGCTTATCTTCACTCACCCCTCCTCCCCACTTGTTCTGGGCATCCAAGCAAACTTATTTAAAGCAGGTCTGTCATTGGGGAAGGCAGACCCTGAGGGATAAAGAAAGAACAGATATTAAGGAAGCTATAATGTAATCATTTAGCCATTAATCCTTTCATATCCATTTAATCTGATAAAGCAGGGTGTGTTTTTTTTTATAAAAGAGAAACCATTACCTTTGTAAGAGGGGAAAGAAATACCCCATATTATAGAAAAGGTTAGACTCTTCAACCAGTGACAAGTGAATAAATTGACATGTCATAGTGTTATTGGTGGGGAGCACTCTGTGTCCCCCTCTGCTGTCAGTAGAAGTGAGCTTCTTGCAATGTCATCAGAAGAGGAATTTTCTGAGATTCACACAGGAGAATGAGTGGTATTTATTTGAGTGAAATTAAACCCGTGAGTTTCCAAGGTCCATCTCCCTCTGTCCTGCCAAGGAAAAGCTCCAGCTGTGTCTTCCCCAGAGCTAGGATTAAAGCCATTCCCACTCCATATTTGCACAGACCAGACCAGCATAAGGCTAGCTTTGTTTGTGTTCCCAGCTGTAGTCCATTGCATGTGGGGCCATGTAGGGCCTAGGGCAGAGGTGGGCAAACTTTTTGACTCGAGGGCCACAATGGGTTCTTAAACTGGACCGGAGGGCCGGAACAAAAGCATGGATGGAGTGTTTGTGTGAACTAATATAAATTCAAAGTAAACATCATTACATAAAAGGGTACGGTCTTTTTTTTCAATAGTTTTATTCATTTCAAATGGGCCGGATCCAGCCCGTGGGCCGTAGTTTGCCCACGGCTGGCCTAGGGCCACATGTCTATGAATGTAACAGGGGTGAGTGCAAGGAAGCAGGAGCAAAGCCAGAGGAACAAGAGAAAAAGAATTCCTTTGTCTGGGGATTTTAATCTTCTAAGATTTCCCCAGCTTGTAGTAGCTCCACCCTCTTTGGCCAATTATCTTTGTTCCAGGGCAGACTGATAGGTAGGTATCTTCCCTATATCACTCCAACTTCACTGCACTTTCATCCATCTTCCCCTTACCCCAGTAATATGCAGGGAACCAACCAGTGGTTCCCCGGGGAATGTGAAATTGCTGCTTCCTGGTGAAGTTGCCCAGGTGACTGTTCTTATAACGTCTGGCCTTCTCTTTGCTCCTTCCTATTATTAACTAGCTAATTACAACAGTAACAATAGGTGCTAAACAATATTATTAAATTAAATAAGAACTGAAACCAAGATAAACTTTGCTTAACTTTATCAGTAAATCAAATCACAACAAAATGAAGACTCTAGAAATTTGTCAAACATGCTCATTTTTGCCCTAGCCAGTTTGGCTCAGTAGATAGAGCAACAGCCTGCGAACTGAAGGGTCCTGGGCACATGCTCAGGTTGTGGGTTCAATCCCCAGTGAGGGACATGCAGGAGGCAGCTGATCAGTGATTCTCTCTCATCATTGATGTTTCTACCTCTCTCTTCCTCTCCCTACCTCTCTGAAATCAATAAAAAACTATTTTCTTTATTAAGGTATTACATATGTGTCCTTATTGCCCTGTTGTCTCCTATCCCTCCACTCATGCCCTCACCCCCTGTTGTCTGTATCCATTGTTTAGGCTTATATGCATGCATAAAAGTCCTTTGGTTGATCTCTGCCACTTACCCCCACTCTCCCCTACCTTCCCTCTGAGGTTTGATGGTCTAATCCAGGGGTGGGCAAACTTTTTGACTCGAGGGCCACAATGGGTTCTTAAACTGGACCAGAGGGCCAGAACAAAAGCATGGATGGAGTGTTTGTGTGAACTAATATAAATTCAAAGTAAACATCATTACATAAAAGGGTACGGTCTTTTTTTTCAATAGTTTTATTCATTTCAAATGGGCCGGATCCGGCCCGCGGGCCGTAGTTTGCCCACGGCTGGACTCTAATCGATGCCGCTCTCTCTCTGGATCTGTTTTTGTTCATCAGTTTATGTTGTTCATTATATTCCATAAATGAGTGAGATCAGGTGATCTTTATCTTTCTCTGACTGGCTTATCTCGTTTAGCATAATGCTCTTCAGTTCCATCCATACTGTTGAAAATGGTAAGAATTCCTTCTTTTTCACTGCAGCATAGTATTCTATTGTGTAGATGATCCTACTTCTAGGAATATATCCCAAGAAGCTAGAAACACCAATCAAGAAGGCTATATGCACCCGCTATGTTCATAGTGGCACAATTTACCATAGCTAAGATTTGGGAACAGCCTAGGTGCCAATCAGCAGATGAGTGGATTAAATATATATATATATATATATATATATATATATATATATATATATATATATATTAAACATGTTCATTTTGTCCAAGCAAAACATTTCCGAGGGCTATGGCATTAGCTCTCAGAAATAACATGTATTAAAATCACTTGGCAGTTATGGCTAGTTTGGTTCCACTAACCATGTTCCTCAGGTGTGCTTCCCTTCCAACTAGGACTGTATTAGAGGCTAAAAGACATGCCCTCTCAATTGTATGGGCTGATGGAAAGATAAGATACACAAAGTGAGAATATGCAACAATGGGTTTTGATAATTCTAGGAAAGCAGTGATCTTCTTAGCAGTCAGAGAAGGAAGAAAATGTGAGAAGTGAGTTAAATGCATAGGTTTGAATAACCTGAAAGGAGTGGGGGGGTGGGGCAGAAGCATGAAAACAGAAATGAGCAGTATGTGTCCCAAGGCCCATGAGGAGGCAGGTCTGGCTGGCTAGGAGAGTGGTTCCAGAATAACTGGAGATCCAGCTGATCACATGAATAGTTCCAGGAAGATAATGAAGGTTCTGGAGTGCTGAGCTGAGGGGTTTGATCTAGTTCCTTAACAATTGGAAGCTAATGAAGAGTTTTTCATGAGATGTTTCTGGAAGAGAATCCTAGTAGGTGTGTGTAGAACAGATTTTAAGGTACAGTGAACTGGAAGCTGAGGAAAACTGCTGCAGTCATCCAGATGGGAAGAGCTAATTCTCTGTAGTAAGGCCTGCCACACAGCATCTGCAAGAATTTCTCAAAATGTGGATGGGGGCTTTTCTGCAATGTAATTGGCTGGGTGAGTGTAACAAATGAGGGCTCTTGAACCCCATCTCACACCTACAGAATCCAAATCTCAGGGGTTAAGGCTCAGGAATATCTGGGTTTTTAACAAGCATCCCAGTTGATGCCCATTGAAATTTCAGCCTACCACCATGCATCAACTGAACTTCCAGATGAATTAGTTGAAGGTAAAAAACTCAAATCATAAAATCCCTAAAATAAAATATAGGTGATTATGCTGAAATGTGGATGGAAGAGGACTTTTTAAAATGAAAAGAAGTTAAAAAAAAAACAAACACAAAACCTATCATGTAGGTAGATTTTAATACATAAGCCTTAAAAACTTCTATATGTAAAAATGTAATTAACAAATTAATAAACAGCAAACAAACAGAACAAGATATACAGGAATGGCAAAGAGTCATTATCTTTACTATATAAAGAGCTTATATAAACTGATATGAAGAACAAGACCTCAATAAAGACCTTGGCAAAGGCACCAAAAGATAATTTCCAGGAAAATAAATATAGGGTAGGCACACAGTCCTTGGGGCATGCCCACTCAAATATCCTTTTTGAGTAAGGGACCCCATGAGACTTGCAACCATGGGAGCAATGGGCAGCAGCAGCTCATCCTGGGCTAACCCCCTATCTCCAAGGCAACCTTTTCTCTGACTTTCCAGTGAGCCAATGCAGCCCCCGCCTTGGCTCTCTCCTATTGCTTCTTTTATAGTAGGCCCTTCCTTGTTTCACTATCTCCAGCTTTAGAAAACATACTCTCAAAAATAAAAATTTAA